TTTATTTAGTTTTGAGTGCAGATTGATGCACTCATCTATGGTATATGGGAATGGAGTATAGGTAACTTTTAAGGTCGGTTTTGTTGAGAAATTTGAGTTATTGGATTATGGTATATTGAATTGGGGCTTTCTGCATATAACATCAATATAAAAACGAGCTTTCTACCTATGTTAATCATTTTCTAATAATTAAGTTGGTGTTGATTATTTTTCAATATATGAATTTTAATCCATTTTTATTTTTTATTTAAAAAATTTTAACAAAAGGGGTTTGGTTCTTTATATTTGTAGTTCTTGGAGGAAAACGTGGATTTTAACGTTACTTTAATACTTAAGTTTGTAAATTTTCGGCCATTTATTTTATGTATTTTGATTGTTGTAATAGTGATTTTTTATTATTACGAAATATACTATCTCATATATTATTTATAAACTTTAAGTTTGTAATTGTTAACATGATGTTGTTTTCATGTTGCTAATGTTGCTTTAATGTTGGTTGATAGATGTTATATTGTTACTTTTATGTTGCTTGACAAATTATAGTTGTTTTAACATTGCTTGACAAATGTTATATTGTTGTTTTGTTGTTGCTAATCTTGTTTTTGTTTCATATTTTTTGTCATTAATTTCTAAAATTATATTAACAAAAATTTTATTGTTTTTTAGATAATTTAATTGTTATGTATGTCTTTTTTGGTTGTTTCTTTTTTTTTCGTAGGTATTCGGAAGAGACGAATAAGAAGAAATGGAGAAGAAGAAACAGAAAGAATAGAATGAAAAAAAAAAACGGACAGAGGAAGAGAAAGAAAAAAAAGGAGGAGAGAGAAAAAAATAGATAAGGACGTTTATTTTTTTTTTCCTAAACAATATGGAGTGTTTATGGAAATCATGAGAAGGTACTGGTTTTATAGAATGTTTTATTTGGACAAAGACAGTTACGTCAATTGGCCCTTTTTCCCTTGCCTATTTTTTTTTCCATGTTGGGTTTTTAATTGCAAGGTTTTTAATGAGGCATGTAGTAATGTCCAAGGGGGAGTGTTATAAATATATTAATATGGACATTACTAATATATAATTGGGCCTGAA